TTATTTTTTAATTGTTATGGGTTTAAGCTTAGGAAGAAGAAGAAGAAGAAAAATAAAAGATTTTTTTTAAATGCCACTTAAGATTTATGTTAAGGGGATGGAAGTTAACGACAGAGGACTTAAATCGGACGGATTTATAATGTTAGGTATCATTCCCCCTTAATTATTTTTGTGACCAAAGTCGATCATAGTGAAAACATAGGGGACTATCCGCATAGTTTACCCTAAGATAATTCATCAGAAGTCAACTGTTAGAAATATTTATTGACCTAATGAGAGAAATCAAGTCTTATATACCAACTGAAAATGCTCTATATTTGAATTGAAATACTAGAATGATAACATGTTTGAGAAAATAAATGTAAACCATACATGAAGCATGATAGTTATTTTTATACGAATAGAAGTGACTAGTTTTATTAAAAATGGGATAATATCCAACATTACAATAAACATATAATTAAGACATATCCATATAATCATTAACACAAGAAACTAGCCACTTGAGATTATAATAGGACTATACAAAGGAAAGGTTAAAAATCCATTTAAAAATTCGAACAAAAGATTGATACGCAAAAATCTAATTGCATTAATAAACGAACCATAAGAGGGGATTAAACTATTGAAAGATCACTGACAATCGTAAATCAGATTTGAGCATCGTGAGAAAACTATCTTCAAACACAAAATTGTGTATCCAATCCAGTCCAAGTGCCCAAAGTAGAGAAGATCAACACGGTAACAAATAAGTTTCATCTTGATCAGTCGATGTGTCGTCAAATCCAATCATGAGAAAATTAAACCAAAAAACTGATCAAATGACTGGAAATGTACCAAATGACATTGAAAAACGTGTCATAAATAAAGACGAAAATGTGATATAGAGACATAGTTATTGTAAATTAAAAACCCAAAATAAAAAAACAAGATGCAATATAAGAAAATAAAGAAAAATGAGGAATACAGGCGGTCGACAACCAGCACCAAGGCTAGTGTAGTTGCCTGCCAAACAAAGAATGGAAAAAAAGGGGAAAATAAGAACGACTAGAGAGAAAAAGCTTTACCTGAAGTTTGATAGTTAATTGGTTCTAATAATCAAAATTCTTGTAAATAAAAAATAGTATAAGATGATCACATATTGAAGGAAGGTGTTTTTAAAGAGAGCCAAAACATAGCTAATAATACAATTCTATATAAAGTTCAAGTACTTGAAAATGAAAACAATGAAAAGGTCTTTAATAAAAAAAAATAGCTGACCCTATTCCCATGTGTAATGGGGTAAGGGGGAGGTATGATAGTAGGTTGCCCCCAACGCCAGGTTGAGAGCAGCTTCCGTGGGAAACCTCCGGCAGTCAGAATTATGGATTGCCCACCGTGGGACACGATCCCACTACCACAAGGTTAAGAGCCTTGCGCTCTACCAACTGAGCTGGACGAGCAATTCTAAAAGGTCTTTAATAATTTATATTATTACAAAAAAAAAGAATCAAAACAGAAAAGTTATTAAAATTGATTTTATAAATAATATTTTTATAAAATAAAAAAATAAAAATGAGGATCTTGAATTTAACTCTATAAAAGAGTATATAGATATAAAAATTATTGACCAAAATAAAAATGCATTATTCAAGTGAAGTTAAATCAATTTTTAAAACATGGACAAATAGTTCCAAATACCTAAAAGTGTAATGAAAATCAGATATAATTAAATAATCGTAAGATACAAAATATGACTTGAATTATGAAAAAAATTATTCTTATATTTCATCTTCTTCTTGAGATAAATAATATATATTTTTCTCATTATTCTCCTATCTCTTCTTATTGATTTACTATTTTTATTTCACAATAGTTTATATCATTCTATTTATTTTTATATTATCTGTTCAATTACATTTAAAATTTTAAGGTTTAATATTAAAATAAATCATAAAAAAATAAATTTTGTAAATTTTATGTATTAAAATTTCTCATATATAGATGCAGTTTGGACCGGGAGTAGGGAGATGGGACACTACACTATACATGGTCCAAAGCAAAGAAAAAGATTGCACCTTTCGTCTTTTGCCATCCAAATAGAAAGGAAGGCAAAGCAACTATTATGAGAGGCCATTATAGTAATTTCGTAACATCAACATTAACAATGCCACTGCCAGAGTAATTCACCCCAGCAATTTCCACTCAGCCTCAATTCTTTTTTCATTAATGAGTTATAAGATAGTATTTTTTTTATAATTTTTTAATTAATTGATAATATATACATTTTACAAAAAATCAATGCTTTAATACATAACATGTAGAGATAACAATATTCTCTTTTATCGTTGAGATCACTTAATGGGTTTAAGTCATACAATTTTTTCATATAAAATATAAAATGTTGAAATATTAAAACTAAGAAAATAACGTTACAAAGGTTTAGATTAAACTATTATTATTAGTTAAAAGTTATATAAGCTTTAGTCAATTAAAAATATTAAAAGACTTAATTTAAAGGGTGGAAAAATATCCACTGAATATAGGACATTACTTTATTGAGTCTCTCAATTATTAAAAGTTACAAAATAGTCCGTAACTATAGGGCAATTTATTGAGTCACACGACTATTAAAGTTATAAAATGATCACTTGACTATTCACACGTTCCAAAATTGTCTCTTTTTAGTTAAAAAAAAAGGTGGTCGTTGAGACGTTAACATGCTGACTGAGATACGATAACATTTGATCATAGAATCGCGTGAGCTGTATTTTATGGATCGACTCTCCATTTACATTATGCCATCAAGGGAGTGCTTGAAGCATTATGTTATCGAGCTAGTGTTAACAACATTGCCAATAAACATCATTTAAATATGATTTTGTCATATCTCAATCAACAATTTAACACCCAACCACTACAACAAAATTGTTCTTTAGTGGAATTTTTTTCGGCGTTTTTAGAAACGACGCCACAAAATTTGAACAAAACACAGGGTTTATGGGCAAAACGCCACAAGACAAAGACATTAGCGGCGTTTTTAGTAATAAACGCCACAATAGTCATGCACCTTAGCGGCGTTTATCAATATTCATGAACCTTAGCGTCGTTTTTGTAATAAACGCCGTAATAGTAATGCTCTTTAGCAGTGTTTTTGTAATAAACGCCGCAATAGTCATGATCCTTAGCGGCGTTTTCTGATAAATGCCGCAATAGTCATGAACCTTACAGGCGTTTTTGTAATAAACGCCGTGATAGTCATGCACATTAGTGGCGTTTTTGTAATAAACGCTGCGATAGTCATGCACCTTAACGGCATTTTTGTAATAAAAGTCGCAATAGTCATGCACCTTAGCGGTGTTTTTGTAATAAACACGGCGATAGTCATGCACCTTAGTGGCGTTTTTCTAATAAACACCACCATAGTTATGCACCTTAGCAGCGTTTTTGTGATAAACGCCTCTATAGTCATACAATTTAGCGGCGTTTTTGTAATAAACGCCGCGATAGTCATGAACCTTAACGGCATTTTTTTAATAAACTCCACAATTTTACAATCATTTTAACCCATCAGGTTCTAAATCCCTAATTGTTTCATTCTCATTTTTTCTAATTTTCCTCTAACGCCTAGCCATCACAGTGAAGCCACCACCGTGCAGCTAACACCACAACCGCATCATCACACCACCGCCGTCAATTTCCGGTCACCAATAGGTATTTCTCTCTTCTCCTCCAGCACTTTCGATTTCTTCTTTGTCGCAGTCGAGGTAAACACCCCCTCAAATTTCATCTTCTGTTTTTCTTTTTTCTTTTTTAAATTAATCTAAAATCTTACTGAAAAGTGAGAACTCTCCCTTCTCTGCGAATCTCGTGCGCTCCAATGCTTGTGGTGTCCATGGCGATTGCAATGGCTTTTCATTATTGTATTCTAGTTCTTTTACTGCTCAAGCATATAGTATACATCTTATTGTATTCAAGTTGCTTTTAGTGCTAGTATATTGTTCTTTGCCAGGAATTCGCAAAATTTTCTCTCACAATCACATTTGTTTTCATTCACTCTTTGAATTGGTTAAAATAATATATCTATGCTTGGTTTGTCATTGCAGCACCTAAACAAAACAAAATTATTAAATTGTCTCATTAGATGTCAGATATTTCTTTATTCACGGTTGATTGCACACTTTGCTATCATAAATTGTTCACAGTCAAGTAGTTACCGGGATTTGAATTTGGGTTTTCTTTCATTTTTTATTTCTTTTAAATTTGTGATTTTCCTACCGTGCGTCTCCATCAGTGCCAACCATCATCGCGCAGCCACCACCTCCAGCAAAGCATAACGCTGCCGTTGCCAGTCTCCATCACCGTTCATCATTCTACCCAGTAACACGCTCTGCTTCTTTTCCTCTTTATCCATACACACAAGTTTTCACTTGGAGACCAAGTGATATCATTTGTCTATTTATGTTTCCTTAACATCAATTCCGTTGTTTTATACTATCAAAAATTACTCGCTACTTTATGTGTGAGGAAAAAACTATGTCTATAAAAATAATATGTCTTGCTAAAACTTTATTAAAATAAAAACTATCTGAGGAAAAAAATCTTAGTGAAGTAAAGAGTACACACATATTTAATACACATAACATATTGTCTCATTTATAATCTTATCATTTATATATGTTGATGTCGTCGAATATATATATTAATAGTATTGTTGTCGGTAGTTACTAATATTGTTGTTTGTTTATTGCAGATATTATGCCTAGGAGAAAATTTAGTGATATGCGGATTGTTCGAGATCCTCAAGAGGAGGAAGAAACAAATAATGAATAGTCGATTGGTGTTGGATCTATAGAAGTTCCGAATACAGTTGAAGAAACTGTAGAAATTGAAGGTAATTTTCAACTCTTTATTTAAAAGGTGAGTGATTTTCTTATTGACTTGATTTTGAAAACCTACACTAAATTATTTCTTATTTAGCTGAAAATGGTCAAAGGTGCAAGAGTAGAGGTCATACGATAATGAAAGAATTGTACCAACTTCCTCTTGGGGACCGCATGAGAGTTTCAAGTAACGATGTCGGTCAACCTATTGGGACAGAAGCACGTGTTCTATCATGTTACCTAGGCATTATTGCACGCAATGCAAGTCTTCTACCGATCAATTATGAGTCATGGCGTGAGATGCCGAATAGTAACAAAATCCAAGTTGTGGATTGCATTAAGGTAATAATTTCATTGTAATAAATAATTCATTGCAGTTCAATAGTAATACATATTCACTTTCAACACTTTTGTAGTTTATAGGAGAAATTTTCTTTAGAGGTCTCTGATGATTATTTGAAGCAATCGTTAGGAAAGAAATGGAGAGATCACAAGAGTTTCTTAAAAAGAACTATTTTAAGAACAACCTCAATCTTGAGGAAAAGCTGCAAAATATCCCATCTGGAATGCTCAGATATCAATGGGAAGATACAGTCAGGTTTTGGAGTTCAAAGAAAGGAAAGGTATGGTGCACTTTAAAAATAATATTATGTCACTATATTATTGACTTTATAAGTCATGTGGAGTTCAAATTGTAGGACCGAGAGCACATTGGTATTGCTAGCAGACAACAACAAAAGTTTACTCACACTGCTGGATCGAAGAGCTTTGCTCGTGTAGCTCATGAACAGGTAGGTATTCTTTGTTTTAATTATGATTATTCATATAGTCATTTTAAGTTAGTAGCATATAGTAATTAACATTTTTTCTATTATTTATTACTTTTTTGTAAGTATTAATTTATAATCTACATTGTAGGAAATCACGTCCGGCAATAGAGTTGGACGAATAAAGCTCTTCGAAATGACACATACAAAAAAAAAGATAGCTCTCCTATGGCTTCTGAAGCTGCAGAAATTATGGTATATTTACTGGGCATAAAATTTGCATTATGTTATATTTATAGTATAACATTTTTATTTTGAATAATGTTTGAATTTGTTCTAAATTCTTAACTGATTATCAGGAAAAAATTGAGCGACAAAAGGGTAGAGTATGAAGCTACGGCTTCATCCAATGCTTCTATTAATTCGGACGAGATTGAAAACCAAGTTATTGCTGAAGTTTTCGGTCCTAAAAGATATGGTCGAGTTCGCTGTCAGGGATCAGTCATTACTCCAACCAAATATTTTGGATCCAGCTCGTCTCAGTACATGTCATCACACAACCAGTCTTCTCAACAAGAAGTTAATCGATTAAAACGACAACTGAGTCAAATTGATGAAAAATTTGCTCAAATGAAAGTTGAAGCTGAAGAGAGAGAAGCAGAGAGAACAGCGAGAGAAGTAGAAAGAGAAGCATCATTTCAGAAAAAAAATATGAAGAACTTCAAAATCAAATTGAAGCTATGAAGAAGATGATGCAGCAGAATCAAACGAAAAATTCATCATCCTAGGTGTTTTCTTAGGTTAATGCTTTGTTTATGTTTGTATACAAATGTTGAACTATATTATATTTAACTTGGATGTTTGTAAACATTGATTTATTTATGTTTTTATGTATTATTACTTAATTTGAATCGTAATTAAATTTAAGATAGTTATTGGGTATTGTTACAGGTTAAATTTGGGTAATACAAAATAGGAAGAATATTGAAAATAATTTTGATTAACGACGTTTTAGGGGCAAAACGCCACTAATCGAGTGCATATTTGGCGGCAGTTTTCCTAGAAATGCTGCTACATGACCAACCTATTGCAGCATTTGTGACTAAAAACGTCGCTAAATAGCGAACCTATTATGGGAAAACGCCTATAACTATCAAACCTATTGTGGCGTTTGTGCCCAAAAAATGTCGCTATATGGCGAACCTTTTGCGACGTTTGTATACTAAAACGCCGCTATTTAACCTGACCTTTAGCGGCGTTTGAGATACAAACGCCGCTAAATAACCTAACTTTTAGCTACATTTATTAGTAGAAAATGCCACTAACAGTTGCGGCGTTTGTATTAGTGGCGTTTTTTGCGGTGTTTTTTTTGCGCCAGCAGCATTTTTAGCGGCGTTTTTAAACGCCGCAATAGGACAAAAAAAAGCTGATATAGACCACTTCAGTTGTAGTGAGCTCAGATGATCATCGATTTTTTAACCAAAAAAAGATGAATTTAGAACATATGAATAGTCGGATAACTATTTTGTAACTTCTAATAGTCGGAGGACTCAACAAAATAACGTCATTATAGTTGGAAGACTATTTTATAACTCTTAATAGTCGGGAGATGCAACCAAACAATACCCCATAGTTGGAGGACCATCGTGTACTTAACCCTAATTCAAATTACCAATTTTGAGGATTAAATATGGAATGGGCATTGAAAGGTATATTTACGCGGTATCTAAGAGTTGTGATTGCACCCACCACCAAAACAAAACAAATAACAAACAGAAGGGCACATGCAATGTACCAGGTCAAAACACTTTAAAAACAACAAACATAGAGGTCAAAGTTATACAATTTCCACACAGAGAAACATGCATACAATCAACAAAATTACCCCTTGACTATAAGAAAATAATACAATAAATATAGTGCTAAATCTATCCATTGCTATTATTTATTCTTTTCTTTTTTATATTGGGTGGACATGTTAATGGTTGGACCAAAATTATTTCAATTCACATTTTATTTAATTATTTATGATTAGCCAGTCTTTCAAAAACAAATTATGATTAGCCAGGAATATGCAGAAATTACGTGCAGACGCCAGGCAGAAACCACCACCTTTTGCACGTGCTTTTTTATAATTAAAAATGTCTTAAAATATGCAGCACATTTTCCTCGAGTTCCGGACTCTGACCACTGCTTTCTCCAAACCCAAACGACTCTTTTCCCTCACAACATTCTAAAATTATTTTGCTTCAATATAATTGTATTTAAGGGTGCGTTTAATAGCATGAAAAATGAATTACAGAGATTTTCTTTTATTTTTCGGTATTTGATTGGTGTAGTTGATTTTTATTAATTTAATATATTATTATAATTTCTTTATTTTACTTTTTGATTGTTAGTAAAATATTTTTATTTTAAATTTTTTAATTAATAGAGTGTAAGTACAAGTCAATATCTATTAAAAGAATACTCTCAACCATTTAACATTTAACGCTCACACCCTTGATATTCTTAGTGCTCGAATCCGAAACCTTGAGAAATAACAGCAATACTTTTACCACTAAGATCGTTTAGTTCTTGCTTATTTTAAAATGCAAACACACAAAATAATATTATTTTAAATATTTAATTTTAATATAACATTTTTATTTATTTTATTTGATATTTATAATAAATAATTTTATAAAAATTTACCAATCAACATAAAAATAATTTACATAACACCATTCAAATACTATAAAATAAAATTATTTTTCAAAAAAATATAATTCATTTTACAATCATTTTCTAAAAAAATAATTATAATGTACTCTCACCGTCTCATAATTTGTGTCTTATATTGATTATGCACATGGTTTTAGGAGATATATTTGACAAAAATAAATAACAAAATTATCATGATTGATAGATTTGGGTAATTTGTTTTGGTAGGGGTAAAAGAATGAGACATATAAGGATAAAAAATATAAGTGTTATTTGTTGATTTTTCTAATTTCTAATAGAACATTTTGAATGAGATAATTTTAAAAACTAAAATAATACATTTAGTGTGACAAAACGAGTATTAAAACCGACTCTAAATTTAAAATATTTAACAAAATCAGTCATAAATTTTTAAAATCATTTAATAATTACGAAAATTAAAATGATATCATAAATTTGTTTGAATTCTTCAAATATAATGTGTCATTGACTAAAAGAGATGGGGGTAAATTTTTTCCCATGTTAGTTGTGTAGATGATGAAAAGCAGAGACAAGGACAGAGATAGCACTACATGGAGTAGACCAATAATTTAGTCATTTTCTAAGCACCCAAAAAAAATCTCCAACTCCGCAGTCGGCAATTTTAATCCAAGTTGCAGACGTCACCAGTTCAAAAGATCCTGTATTTTACTCTACTTGTTAAATGGGGTGTTTGTTATAGGAATCCAAGAGAAAATGGCTCAATCAGGTAAACAAAGCAACTCTTTTTTTTTTCAACCCTCTTTAATGTTTGTAGCTAGATTAAATCTGATTTTAGGGATTTAATAATGATTATCTCAGGTTATGATATTAATAGCTTATTTCGAGAAGCTCAGTCCCGGTGGTTGAAGCCGGCAGAAGTTCTGTTTATCCTACAAAATCATGAAAAATATGAACTCACGGATGCGCCGCCTCAAAAGCCAACAGGTAAATCGTTTTCAACTTTTTCTTTTTTTAAATTTCGTTAAATCGCCATATTTAATCACTCCAGTATTTTGAAGTGTTTTGGGTGGCTCTTTGTATCTTTTCAACAAGAGGGTTCTTCGTTTCTTTCGTAAAGATGGTCACAGTTGGCGTAAAAAGAAGGATGGAAAAGCTGTCGGTGAAGCCCATTGTAGATGCTCGGTTTTGTCCGGAGCTAGGTAGGAGCAGACCCAAAGCAGAGCAGTTGTAGGCCCAAACCAATGACCCGGCAGAGCAGCCCAAATCAGTCCAAACAACATGTTATACTAGCATCCAGTCCACGTGAGTTCTGGAAAAACACAAACGAATATCCAGTGGGAAGGAGAGAAGTACTGTTTGATCGTGGGTGGGATACTAAACTGTAAGTTGGTTTTTAATTTGTAATTAACCACTGGAAACTAAAGGGGTGTCAGTTTTTAATGGGAAACTAACCACCAGAAACAGGGGGGAGAAGGAAAAATCAGACAGCAAAAAAAAACGAGCAGGAGATTACAGAGAGAACGAAAAGGAAAGAGGGGAATTTGTAAAAGTTTCTGGTTCAACATTTGAAAAGCAATAAAAAGAAACAATTTTTTTTTCTCTCCTGATTTTCACTCTCACAATCGCAAGGATATCAATCATTCACAAAAGGGCAGTATCATTCTTTCAAGCAAAAACAACAAAAAAAAAACATCAAGCATTAATAAGGAGGTATTTCATCTTATTTTGTTTATTTTTACTAACTATTCGTATATGTGGTATTTATTTAGGAAGAAAATAAAGGTAAGGAAGATAGAAATAGACAGTTAGATTTACCTCTGGTTCTGTTTTGATTGATTGTCGATGTCGTTGCTGCATCGAGGTTGGGTTTCTGTCCCGTTTGGTTCGTTTTTCTTTGGTGTTTAGAGGGCGAAGCTCTCGGGTTCGTAGTCTGAGATTGGTTCAACACCGAGTCATGTTGGTTTCATACGTTTTGAAATCTTGTTTAGACTAGAAGCAAAATCAGAAGAAAAGTTAAAAGAAATGTTCAGCTTAGCTTATCTCGCCGGTTCTGGTCCTCGTCGGAGTCCATAGGTGGTGTTGGTCGTTCGTTTTGGTTGAGGGCTAGAGAGGAAGGAGGCGTCTAGGCTCATTAGGTCGATTCGGGTGCTTCATCGCTGGTGACCACCACGGTGGTGGTCGGAAAGGTGAATCGTGCCTATATAGGGCTTTAGGGTTATCACAGAGGGTTGAGAGAAGAGGCGAGAGGGAGAGTGGAGAAGATGAGAGGGTATTACGGCTGGGAATGAAAGCAATTGATTTAGGGTTTAGTTTTCACCCTATATTTTGTATATATGAATTCATTGAAACGGTAGTGTATAGGGCATACATTTGACGCGTGGTTTATCTATGGGATGATCCATTCAATATTCCAATGTTATGCATTTTGGTCCATAAACCATGCTTCCGCGTTTCTGATTTTGTAACCTTGTTTTCCACCTATTTTATTTCGGTCTGTATACTTTATGCACATTTAATTCTCGTCCTAAAGTGTTTATTGTACTTAGTTTTTGCTCTTTAGATATTAGACCTTTAAATTCTTACATGTTGGATTTTAGTCCATTTGGTTTGTTAAATCGAATTTTGTATTATTTGTGTTTCTGGCCTATTACTTTGAAAGTTTATGCTTTGATCCCTTGCGAATTGTTATTTTATGGCCCCGATGTTTGTAATATTTTGTACGTAAATTCATTGATGCATGTTTAAGATACAAATGCGTGTAAATAAACATATATATATATATATTCAATAATTAGGTTTAAGTTTGAATTAATATACTTGAGTAAATATCAATTGTAACATGTTGAATATTTCTTTTTAATAATTACGTGAATTTGCATTGGGGATGTTTATTATATGCTATATTTAGATGCTATGGTTTTGTATGCTTAGACTTCGTATTATTTAATTTAGGTAAGATAGTATAATGCTTAATTTAAGTTCCATTTTATTCATTTGCGTACATGTAGGACTAGTCATTTTATCTTGATTGAATGTTGTATGATATTTTTAATTATAATATTTGTTTAATTAATTTTTGGCATGTGACATACTTTTTGCATAATTTGTATGATATCCTCATGTGCATAACTCGATTTATAAATACATAATCGGACTAAGGGTAATACCCTTTTAATTTAAAATTGTCTTGAGCGGCTTGTCTTAACTGATTAGAGAGTCGTTTTGACTATTTTAAATTAAAAGCGTATCCCGGAAGTGAAACCAAAAAAAAAATGATTTGTCACCTAAAATTTGGGAATGGAAGAAAAAGAAATGTTCGGTTATTTAAATTTATCGAGAAAAGGTTGTTATATCTTTTAAGATCTAGACTCGATAGTTGTAAATAATCGAACATTCTTTATCTTTCTAAAATGACTTGGCAATTTTAATTTAATTCGTTTGAGTGTTCTTGAATGTTTTAAATTTACATTTTTGTTTTATGGGATCAAAAATCAAATTAAGTTCGAATTTGTAAAGTTCATTGCAAAAACGTTAATTAATCGACTAGGTACCGATTTAGGGCGTTGTGGGGGTGCTAATCCTTCCCCACACGTAACTGACTCCCGAACTCAAATTTTGGTAACGCAGACCTCAATTTGTTGTTTTAATTAAAATTAATTTTTATTTAAAATGACAAAGCATTTTTGGGTGCCCAATCACACCCTAATCAAAGATTGGTGGCGACTCTTTGAACCGTATTTTTCGATCTTAAAGGAAATCCAAAAATTTTCGAAACGAGAGGTCTTTTAAATCGCATTTGTTTTTAAATTAAAAAGAGATAATTAAGAATTAATGTGGTTTTTAAAATCTCACTTTTTTCACCTTTTAAGAAAAAATCGTTTCGACAGCTTGGCGACTCCGCTGGGGACTTTTTTTTTAGAGAGTCTGGCCGATAGTCGATTAATTAATTGTCTTTGCAATTGAAAATTACAAATTCTTTTTAATTTGATTTTTGATCCCTTGTTTGGTTTTTAATAAGTTTTGTTTGTATTTTGATTTTTTTTTAATTTAATTCGATTAATAATTAAATAGTTGTACTAATCTGTTTGCTAATGGTTTCAAAATAATTGTTTGTTTTAGGAATTGATTTTGAGTGTTTTTATTGATTGTTTTTTCGCTTTTCCTCACACACTGCACAGCTGCATTATCATAACATGAGCTAAAACCCAGCTCCGTCCTAATTAAGTAGAAGTGAGAGACTATGCCCTCGTGTGGTTTTCACCTCCGCATGGGATAGTGGATCGCTCCTGGAGCTCACGCCTTATGGTCCTCGTGATGGTAATCATCTCCGCATGGACATAAGGAGGTGTGTTCCCTCGAAATTGAACTCGATCCCCTAAAGCCTGTGATGGGCCAGGATTGAGGGTTCGGCAGCCCAAGGGGGCACCGACAAGGACAATTCGAGAAACTATTACTTTAGAACCTAACCCGACATATAGTGAACATAGAGCCCGAACTTAAGTTGAGCCAAACCCGAACCTTAAGAATCCCGTGAGGAGGGTACACAAGGAAAAGCTTTTTTGAGTAATTTATTTTCGTTTTTTCGAATAAATGCATGCGAACTAGATATCATGCGGTTAGGTTTATTTTTCGAACAAGCATGCGAATTAGATATCATGCGGTTAGGATTTCTTTTTGTGGATAACAAAGCATGGGGGTAGATATCATGTTGGGTAGGATCTGATAAAGCATGATGGGGTAGTCAGCATATGTGGGTAGGATTTTTGAACAAATTATTATCCTGAATTAATTGCTTCATGTTTACTAACCGATCTTTTGTTGTTTTTGCCTTGTTTCTTTTCTGTTTTGCATTGCATTGTCCATTACTTGGTGTTGATTTGGGGTTGATGTCCATATAGAAGGCCAGTAATATGGAACGAACGGTTCAGAAAGAGGTTGAGGACAATGTAGATGTTCTGAGGTGGTCGGAACAGTCCCAATTGACCAATGGAGACAACGTGATGCCTGGATATGTGTCAGAGTTATTTGGTTACACTCACATCAACGTACGTCAGAATGATCTGAGTGAGCTAAGAGAGATATGGGGAAGATGGGAAGCAGCCGATAAGGAGATGTTTTATCAGTTGTACGGCGATATTCCTTATCTTCTGGATATTCCTATTGACCGAAATCTGTTTAGAGCATTGACGCAGTTCTGGAATCCGGCTTATGGCTGTTTCACATTTGGTAGAGTGGATCTAACACCAACAATAGAGGAGTATCAAGCATTGGTCCATTGTCCGAGGTCCCAGATAGATAGAATATATACCAAGCTGCCAGTCACTCCTTCATTTAAGAAGAAATTACGATTGATGACCGGAATGAGTGAAGATTGGGTAATCAGAAACATTAAGAAGAAGGGAGACAGTGAGTGCATCTCTTGGGCTGCTCTGAAAGAAGTAATTGCTCATCATCCTGATAAGAGAAAGAAGCTTGACTTGTTTGCTTTAGGGATTTATGGGCTCGTTATTTTTCCAAAAGTGCTAGGATATGTAGACGTATCAGTTGTTGACCTGTTTGAAAGATTAGACAAACGCGTGGATCCTGTTCCAGCTATTATAGCTGAGACGTTCCGGTCTTTGAGTTCTTGTAGGCGCGAGGGAGAAGGACGTTTTATAGGATGTGCGCCTTTGCTGCTAGTGTGGATTCTGAGTCATTTCAAACATGTTGAAAGGGCACCAGGACGAGTATTTTTAGACGGTTTCTCACCTTTGAAGGATTTTCTTTCTAAAGAGTGGCCTGGGGGTTTTACCGAAGAAAAATGGATGGTCATCTTCAAGGATATCAGAGATGGAGATATTTTATGGCGAGCTTCATGGAATACCTCTTCGGATATACTTTACCGATGTGGAGAGCGAGATTGGGTTCCTTTGTCAGGTATATGGGGTTCTGTTGGCTATACACCGCTACTAGTTTCCAGACAGTATGGATTGAGGCAGTTCATTCCAGCCACGTGGGACTTGGTAGGATTGGATTTTGCATTCAAAGGAGATCAGTATAAGGGTAAAGTTAAAGGGGTTGCTGAGGCCTGGAAGCAAACTCATCGCGTGAATTTGTTCACCTATGATCTCGAGTTATCTCAAGAGTACGAGCAGTGGAGAAGCAGTCGAGTAAACGACAACATCCCAATAGTGAATCCTGAAAATATTCAGCCGGTAGAAGAACAGTTAAGAGTGATGCCATCTCCATTAGAGTTAGCCAAGCGCGATTTCGAAGCAGAACGGAGACAATGGAGAATGACTTTACATAAGCTAGAAGATGAAGTGTATCAAAAGGGATTGGAGATTGACATTCAGAAGAGTAGAGCAGATCGAATTGAAAAAGTAGAGAAGCAACTTCGGCTGGATTTTGACGATCTTCGGTTAACTTATCAGCGAATGGTAAAAGCTCAAGTAGGTTCTAGCTCGAGTAAGTCTGTCGAATTGAGGGAAGAGGTGGCGAGCCTCAAAAGAGTAGCCGGAGAGAGTCGAGAAGAGCTCAAGCAAAGC